AATACAAAATTTCACAGAAGATGTGGGGAATGTGTGGAAGGGGACTGGAGAGAATGGTAAAGACATTGGAAGCCAAAGGACGAGGGGGGGGGCAAGGATGGGATCAGGGAGCGTGCCAGGCAGGCAGGGTTTGCACAGGGAAGCTGTGGGAAATACATATTAAATGGTAATCAGCACCCAGAGGGTGGAGGCCCTGAATGCAGAATTTACTTGGAAGGAAGTGAAGAGCCACTGACAGTTTGGGACAGGAGAATGATGCACTGAAAAAGGATTTTTGTGAGGATTAGTCTAGTGGAGTACAAGAAAAAGTAGCTATTGTTGGCAAAGACACAAATTATGAGCCCGCAGCAATTGTCCAAGCAAGAGGGAGAAACTAATACTGCTTATGAGAGTCTACAGCCACAAGGATTTAATAATGCTCTGGTGAATTAGAAAAACTATTTTTGAATGTTATAAAGTATTTAAATAAATCAGTCACAGCTGCTCTCCCTTCTCGAGAAATATCTCCAAATTAAACTTGGCTTTCAACAGACATGAGAAGCAAAATTAGGCAATCATCTAAAATCTAGGACAATGCCTTATATTTAATAGGGCATTTTTTCATAATGTTGATGAAAATATTTCTTGAATTCAAGCAAGAAGAAAAGTCATAGTATTTTAGATATCTAGCTTTTCAGATATCAATATTCTTGTTAAAATATGATTTATAAGGCTGCCTTAAGTCTTCTGTATATTTTAATGAACTGTAGAAATGATCCCTGAAACTATAGTCTTATCTTCTATGTATTTTAAATGTATAAATGTAGATTAAATGAATGCTCAATTTTGAGGTCAATAGAGGATTTTTTTGTGTGTTTGAGCTAAGCAACACAGAATAGGATAGTAGTAAGAATAAAGGAATAAATTTAGTGTTTTTAATTGAGTCTAGAGTTTTTATAACAGTAAATTCCATAAAACTTTGGCCAAGTAGTACAATATCAATTAATCGAACAACATGGCTTTAAGATAAGTAAGCTCCATTATTTCTATACAACCTTAGGCTAAATCCCAAACTAAGATAAATTAGCTTTTAGACATACCCAATTCTTCAGTTTAAATTGTCACACTGGCTGGGTAAACTTGATGAACAGGTTCTTTAGTATCTCTAGGCCTCAGTTTTCTTGCCTGGGAAATGGGGATATAATAATAATGTAGTAGTATATCTGCCCTTGCTGGTACACTATACAGATGTTAGTCATAGGGCGATACATTTCCCAAACCCTTTTGGATGCCCCTGCACCCTGTAGTGCCCAGGGCCCTCCCGATGTCTTCTCAGCAACACTTCCTTTTCCCTCACCCATCTCAGAGTTACCTGTCCTGAGTTCCAACTCAACCTACTTAGTACCTTAAGTTTGGCTAAGTTGATAACCTACTGCATGCCAAGATGTTAATGAATGCTAATATATCTACTTATCAACCTTCCCACACATCTTGTTTGCATTTTAACGGGGTCTAAAGGCCTTAAGCCAAACAGTGAAAATGGTATTAATTTTAGGTTCTTCAATTGGCTAGTGAGAATGATTCCCGCAGGGGGAGAGGGAAGAAGTGTCTAACTTGCGCCACGCCTGAGGCAGACCCTGGGGAGAGCCTGAGTTTCTGGTGGTCCGTTGGCCCACAGTCAACACCCCATATGGTGGCTGCTCCAGCCGTGAGCCTGTTTCCTAACCCTGGGCCACAAGAGGTTGATGCTATCATCAGGAGTACTTCTCTGGTTGATAGAATATTTCACTGCCCCTTTCTCATTCAGTGACTGTGCAGATGTCCTCATTGGGTTCAGCGTCTATGTTTCCTGCAGGCTTACAGCAAAGGGCTGCATCTTGGTGTGTAATGTTCCAGCTACAGTGAAAGCCCACTGGGTCCTCCTCCTGCGTCTGCAAACATCGGCATTTAGTCCTCAGCCCTGTTTCCCTGCATAACAGGCTCTTTCCACTCAAACCAATCGCCGCACTTGCTTCCCTCAGCCCTGGCGCCTACCTACAGCTGTGCTTACTGAAGTGAGACTGTAATTTGCTACAGCATGCCAGAGTATTAATAGACAATTATTTATTGCAAATCTGAACCATTTATACTGTTTACTGGCTGACACAATGTAAAATTTTGATCCAAATGTTAATGTGTCCATGACATTGCATAATTCTGTTCCATGCCATGGTTTTTCTCTTCTAAATGAATCGAATTTGCAGTACAAGGAAATGGCATTTTTAATGGATGAATGATTTACAGCCTCAAACTTATAAGGCTATTATTTGTATAACTAAGGGAGAATTGACTAATTGCAATAACACAGCAAATTAGACAAATTTAGGCTTGTACTGGGAACAAATTCATAGGGAGAAAATGAAAATAGCTTGCAAAGTCCTTAAAGGGTAACTGAATAAATCTCACTTTAGCTTTACAGGGCAATTGTATTTTGGGGGGAGATCAGGTACCTTTGAGGCCAAACAGACTTATAAATATTCAATTGAGTAGAACATAGATAAAAATTACCTCTTCATAAAGAACCATATGTGTAGGAGAGAGCACTTCCAATTCTCCAAATGTTTACTGAAATTGCTTACACAAATGTTTTCGGCAGTTGGGTGAAAACAAAGAGCTTTACAGTTATGTGGTTTTCATGAAAAAGACACCAATTTTAGCATATTTACCTTCTATTTGTTGAGCATGCAACACAATGCCAAGGAAGAATGATTTCCTAATGGAGACCTTCATGATTTTTCAAAATAAAGAATGTGCATCAGCAAAAATAATATTTCTTTCTGAGGTATTCCTCTTAGGTTGTTTATATCGATTCTTGTTATATCGTTACCTCTACTCACAGAGAGATTGTTAAGATAAAAAGAGTCTCAACACAGCTCTAATTAAAGCTCTGAGAGCTACATTGGGGTGTCTAAACACAAGGTCATTCAAAGTGAAGATTCCTTTAGTATTTTAGTACATGGGGCTCCCACAAATTAATGATAAAAGAAAACCGATTTGGGAGGGTGCTCTAAAAATTATAATAAAATATTTGTGTGTTAGTCCAAATAACAGTTGATCTTCGAACAATTCAGGGGTTAGGAGAGCCAACCCCCATGTAGTCGAAAATCGGCATATAACTTTTGACTCTCCCCAAATTTATCTATTAATAGCTTATTGTTAACTAAAAGGCTTACCAATAACACAGTAGATTAACACATATTTTGCATGTTACATGTATTATGTATTGTATTCTTACAATATAGTAACCTAGAGAAAAGAAAATGTTATTAAGAGGATCATATGGAAGGAAAAATATATTTACTATTCGTTAAGTGGAAATGGATCATTACGTCTTAATCCTCATCGTCTTCATGTTGAATAAGCTGAAGAGAAGGAGGGGTTGGTGTTATTCTTTCAGGGGTGGCAGAGGTAGAAGAGGTAGAAAGGGAGGCAGGAGAGGCAGGTGCAGTTGGTGTAAATTTCCTTGAAAAAATTCCACATATAAGTGGAGCCATGAAGTTCAGACTCATATTGTTCCAGGGTCACTGGTATATACAAAACAGCCTTCTCTTCTGCAGATAGCAAGGCCTTCCCTCTCACTGGCTTTAGTAATTGCTTCCTGGTTTTCTTTCCTGCCCCCTGACACAAGACACAGCCCCTTCCCGTCTGTTCTCCACAATTTAGCTAATCATCTTTCTCAAATATATGTCTTACCTTGCCTCTCCCCTTCCAAACACCTTCCCCGGGAAGATCAGGATAGAATACAAACACTTTACCGAGGTGTACGCAGTGAAATTCCTATACTACACTGGATTCCTATACTACACTGGAAATGCCTATACTACACTGGATGCCTCACTACCACCTGTCCTGCCCTCCTCTCTCCACAGTAGCTGCTCACCCGACAGGTGAATGAGAAGCTCTGGGTGACCTGCAATCCTGGGAACAGGCCATGTGCTTATCTCCACTTTCAGGGCCTTTGCATATTTCTGTTTCCCCTCTCTTTGTGATGCCCTCCCCCACTCTCTTTGCTCAGATGACATCTCCCCTGGGAAGCCCTTGCTGAGCCCACAAGCTAGTCGGCTGCCCCTTTCCAAAGGTGGCATTGGCTGTCCCTACTTTCCCCCAGGCACTGCCACACCCAGCTGAAAGCACTCAAGTTCTTTTTTTTTTTTTCCTATTCTTTATTAATTGACATTTATTTATTTATTTTTATTTCAGCATATTACAGGGGTGCAAATGTTTAGGTTACATATAGAGCCTTGCCCCACCCGAGTCAGGGCTTCAAATGTGTCCATCTCCCAGACAGTGAGCACCACACCCATTAAGTGTGAATATGCCCCTCCCCTCCTTGCCCCTTCTACCTACCCGACTCCCGATGAATGTTAGTACTATATGTGCACAAAAGTATTGATCAATTAGTACCGATTTGATGTTGAGTACATGTGGTGCTTGTTTTTCCATTCTTCTGATACTTCACTTAGTAGAGCACTAGTTCTTTAATCATCTTCTCCACTGGGATGAAAGCTTCTGGAAGGCATGACTTGTCTTCTTTACTGAGCTTGGCCACAGAGTAAACGCCTGGTAAATATATGAGGAATAAGTGAAATATCTCTTGAATACCTACCTTGTCCCAGGCACTGAACAAGGTCTCATGAAGAACACAAAAATAGTTTGTGCATGATCCATTCTCTCAAATAGAATAGTTATAATTAATTAGGCGTTGTATAAGAAAACCAGAAATAACAGAAGAATATGATGAGAGCCAAAAGAAATGTAAGACTTGCTATAGGCTTTCAGAAAAATGAGATTCATTATTTAAAAATCATAATCTTCTCTGTGTTTTTCTCACTCTCACTCACTCACTCACTTTGAAATCAGGCAGACCTGGAATTAAATCCTCATTTAACTACTTATTAACTATAGTGACCTTGGACAGTTTACTTTACCTAAGCTTTGATTTCCTCATCTGTAAAAAGAAGATGATAATATTTATCTTGCAGGGTGCCTTGAAGATTAAGTGATATCGTGCAAAAGGCCAAGAACATAGAGAAGACTCAGCAGATGGTGCTGGGAATATTATTTCAAGACAACGTGCTGCTTGCTGTCTCAGACCTGCTCCACTGTACTTCAGGTTTTGTTATTTAGTATCTCATATTTCAATTACTGGGAAGATATATTGGAAGATATATTTAGAGTAGGAATCTTACCTACATATAGAAAATAGCTTATTTTCAAATTAGGACACAATATACTACTCAGTTCCTGCCAATATTGATTGTAAATTAATATTTGGAAGGGTTGCCTTGCTACTAATAAACTTTATTCTAGGTCTTTTTGAAATTTTAAGGACCCAAGGACAGAAACCATAGCTTAGTCAGGTAGTCAAAGACTTTTTGCTGGATTTGAATTCGAGAATTTAAAAATCTGATTTGTTTATTCATCATATATCTATTGAGTTCTTGGATAAAGACCCTCTTGCTATATCTAGCTTCCTTTTCACAGATTTCCATAAAGAATGAAAAAGTTTCAGGGGAAATAGGAAGCAGTAGCCAGCCACAGCAATGTAGACAAGTAGTGATGCAATGACTGGTTGAAACTAGATCAGCCTTAAGAATTAATCGTAGTGCCCATGTTGGATAGAAAGACCAAACGCCATTCCTGTAATTTACATGATAAATGAAGCCAAGACTACTGTCCACTATATTAATACTGGACCCAGGGGTATATAGTGGTCAAGAATCTGGGTTGCAAAATTAAACATACCTATATAACTGCGTGACTTTGTACAAATTACTTAATCTTTTTGAACTCCAGATTCTTCAACCATTTCATAGGGATTATAAAACCTATTTTGCAAGATTGCTTTATAGGTCAATTGACAATGCGTATAAAACACTTAACACAGAGAGAACTCAAAGCATGGATATTTTTAGTATCATTTTGAACATAAGTCATAGCATCTCTGGCATTTTAAAATATATCCAGTTAAGGGTGCCTGTTTGAGGGAGATTTTTACATTATTCTTACACAACTGAATGCCTAGTCCAAACTCACTGGGTAGTGCAATCCTTTTTTCCTCTAAACAGCCCAAGAATGGGGCAGGTGTGAAACAGGCATTCAAGAAACAGAATCAACAGACCTTAAAGTCCTAACTAAATCAATGCAAACGGATAGTTTGGATAACTCTTGAAATAATCAGCTACCGTCTTTAGTACATGACATCTCTTGGTCTTACTTCTTGATATCAAACAAAACTGGAATGTGGAAATATTAATAAAAATGACTCCATCACAGAGAAACCAGAAATGTCATTTGGCCCGGTCCTCTGCATGTAGGAAAAACTCAAATTAGTTTTTGAGCATTTTTTTCTAATCTGTAATCATAAAAACACACTGACAAGAAAGAAAATACACATTGGACAAATGTCACCCTGGGTTCCCATATTGGATCGTAAGGCTTGCAGCACACTATATTAAGAAAGATTATTTACACATCATTGAAATATCCTTGAATAATACAATTATCTCGTATTAAATATTTTATGGTAAAAGCATTAAATTTGTTACTTTTGTTAATTGAAAATATGCTACAAGTTCTGTAATTCTGTTTAGATGCTTCTTCATTTTTTAGGACTCAGATCCTCTACAATCTTGACTTCTAAGGAGTCACACCTTGTCTAATGCATTCATCTGGTTAATGCCTGATTTTGAGCAACTGGGGGAAACTACTCTCTTTTCATATTAAATTTATTCATTTTACTTTCACATCTCATTCAAGAAGAGAAACCATAAACAGGAATACATTGATTAAGAGCCAGTTTTATCTTGTGCCCAATGGAAAAATTCCGTGGGAGTTGCGTAGGGCTGTGTCACTGATGTACATCAAGAAGAATTCAGATTTTATATTATTTGCTCTAAACCAGAAAATTTTACTTATTATTCATAATACATGTTGAAAGCACACACCAAAATGGCTCATTTGGAGCTTTTTTGTGCTCACCCGCTAATGCACATTAACGCCAGTACACATTCTGTATTACAGATCCATAAAATGCATTTGCATAATATTGAAATTATAATCCCAAATGTGTACTAAAAACCTTTATGAAAAATTGTTACTGCTCAGCTACTATACAGTGGCTAATTTTTAATCTTCAGCCTCTCAGCTGCGAGTAAAGATGGGGAATTCTTTAAATAAAAATCTCAGGAGTAAGAGCCTATAATCTTAACTCTCCCCTCTTCTAAGCAGGCTATTTTGGGGGGAAGGAATATACTATGCAAGTTGTTAAACATTTGCTTTTGTAGTGATCCTGGTGTTTTGAAACTGATGTCTTGACTTTTACAATTAGGTGAGAGTATCTCCAATTTACCTTCCTTGGACCAGCAATGGGATGAGGGTTTTATGATGCCACAGGGGGCCCTTCCTAGTCAAGAAGCCCTCTGGAGTGTAATCAAAGTGGCTCAGCTGAGGTGGCAAGTATTTTAGCAGAGAATACTGCTGGCCACTGTTCCGTACATGCCACCTATGCACTTAGTGCTGTGGTGGACTCTTGAGTAAACTGTAACAATGACCCTTCCAATTATTCAATGAGGATGATCCCTTGTCATGAAACTGAGTCACAGAGAGGTTAAGCACTTGCTGAGTCTCTCATCTCTCACATGTAGACCCATATCTGTTGACTCCCACATTCCAACTACTACATCCAACAGCAGTGCTAAACATACATGCTTGATTCTTCAAAGGATTCCACAACTATGTTTTCAGATAATTTCCAGAGAGTTCTAGATGAGCGTTTTCAGAATTAACATTGCTGAGTTACATTTCTACCAGGACCTTTGGACATTGGCTTTAATAAAGGAGAACCCGATGGACAGGCTAAATTGTCAACTTGTGCCTAGTGGGGCCCAGAAGAGAGTGACCCTGCATTTCCTCTGTGGAACTGGTCTTCTCTTGGCCATTGGCCCCTCTTGCCTTTCCTCGTGGCCCTAGGCAGAAGTTTACCCTCTGGGCAGCCCTAAGCAGTTCTACTCAATCCATCAAATCGTGAAGCAAGGAAATGCTCTGGTGCCCTGTCACTAGACTCTTCCTCCTTTCTCCTCTTCTTTCTCTTTTGAAATTTACAGCTGCAGGAAAGGAATAAGAAAACCAAACTCAAACGGGCCTGTCCCCTTCTCTATGGCCATTTTATACTAGTGGCTTCCTGGCTGGAACCAAGGGAGAATTAGAGATAAGACAGAATAAACCCTGTACTTTATTTGAGGGATTTTGGTCTGGAAAAGTGTTCCCTTATTTTCCCTTAGTCATTTATTTGATTTTCATTTATTTGATTTTAACAGGTATTACCTAAACGTAGTACAAATTTAAAAGGTATAATAGTTCGAAAGTTGTGTTTTATACTGTGAAAAGTATGTCTTTCTTCTCCTTTTTTAAAAAACACAAACAATAGCTTATTATACATGGTATTTTGAACCTTATTTCTTAGAAATCCCTTTTTACAGGAGCACATAGGGCTGCTTCTTTGTTTTAATGCAGATATGCCATAATTTATTTAATCAGTCTTCTTTTGATGGATATTAAGGTTGTTTCCAATTATTTGCTATTAAAAACATTGCTGCAATAAATCACTAATTCTTGGGTCATATTGAAATATGTGAATAGATCTATGAGATAAAGTCCTGGAAATATAATTGCAGGGTCACAGGATATGTGCGTTTTTAATTTTGGTAGATTTTGAGAAATTGTTCATCATAGAGATTGCACCAATTTACACTCACTCTTTCCCCAAGGGTCCCTTAGCTTAACCCTTTAGATCAAGAGCTTCTGGTAAGAAAGGGCTCAGACTTGGGAGAAGATGTATTCAGGAGAAGGTCGGACAGAAGCCTGCCCTGGTGGACAACTGCTAGACTGCTAGCCTTGCAGTTCCAACCTCTGGGCCTTGGGCTAGTACCAATATGTGGCCTGTTATGAACCAGGCCACACAGCAGGAGGTGAGCTGCAGACCAGTGAGCAAACCTTAGTTTGTATTTACAAAGTGCTCCCCATTGTTTGCATCACTACCTGAGCTCCACCTCCTGTCAGATCAGCAGTGTCATTAGTTTCAGGAAAACAAGCTCAGAACTCCCACTGTTTCTGCATTATGGTGACTTGTATAATTATTTCATTATATATTACAGTATAATAATAATAGAAATAAAGTATACAATAAATATAATGCGCTTCAACCATCCTGAAACCATCTCCCCATCCCCATCCATGGAAAAATTGTCTTCCATGACATTGGTCCCTGGTGCCAAAAAGGTTGGGGACCACTGTGCTAGCCTGTTCTCAGGCAAGTGACAGAGAGGAAAACTAGGAGACTCTTGATGAGCTCATTCTATTCATTTCAAACGACACTGAAATAAACCCAAACGTAGGGGTCTCCTGTCTGCAGCTAAAAATCTCCAGGAGGTAAATTTCTCAGCCTTCTTGGGTAAACTATTTGGGCTTCTCACAACTCTTCTGAAAGTCAGGACATTTTTCCTGGTGTCTAATATAAATCTTTCCTGCACACATCCACTTGTGAAAAACATGTGCTAACATTTCCCAAAAGCAATGCGAGTTCAACTTGCTAGATAATATGATGCTATACTTTCATGGTTAAAGTATGTATCCTTCTTTTTTTTGTTTAAATAGCAGACATCTCTTAAGTCATTTTAGAAAACTTTAATACCTACACAAAGGATAGCATGAGCCCTTTTATTTTATCCCATATTTGATTTAGCTATGGACTTTACAGGGAATGTGGATATACTTTAAAATTTTACAATGCTCTCTTGCTTCCCTCTTCTCACATATTATAATCAGAGAATTGAGATGCCTTCTCACTAGATGCTGATCAACATACAGCTTTCTGAGTAGCATGTCCCATATCACTTCTTCTGAAGGAGACAATATCTCTGTAACTGGGAGAGATATAGGTCATTCCTGTGTGTATCTTTCTCCTGCTGTCTAGATACAATAACTATTTTAGGAACATTTGGCATCCAAAAAATCCCAGCATTGTGCAAATTAAAACATCTGCTTGTACTTTGACACCCTCATTCTTCAAAGGTTAGTTGGATTTGCGGTTGCTTTGTTCAACAAGACTGCTCTTGGAGCCCAAGGATGCACATTTAATTATTGGGAAGATCTGTTTGACAGAGCTGTGGGGGAAAAAAATTACCCTTCATATTCAGACCAGCATTAACATTTTTATAGAAGGAGATTGCCTGAGAGTCAAAGAAGGAGGAAAAACTCCAGGAAAATAAATATGAATCTATTTGGTCACTGGTCTTCTCCTACTGATTTACAAGACTCCAACCAACGACTCTTTGCTCTGTTTCCTAAAACTCATCAGCTTGCTGTTAAACTGGCATTTCTGATTTCTGCTGAGGTTAAAGACAGCAAAGTAAACTCTGCTTCCAACAATAAATAACAGAGAGAGTTTTTCTTTTTATTCAAACAGGCTTTAGATCACAGCAGACAGCTACAACCAGGTGCATTTAACTACATTTGTCATTGCCACGAATGCAAAACATGTAAAGAATCTGCTGCAAATGGGACTATATCCAGTCTTTTTCTACCTTAAATATTTTTCTATCCCTAATTGTGGCTGAATGGTTGTCACCCATCACCATCGCCATAACGCAGGGCCGAGGTGCCTGTAGTAACACCAGTATCTCCTGATTGATTTGTTTATGTATGCAGGTTATTGGCGCCAGGTAGCAGGTTGTATACTGGAAGGCTTTCTGTATCTCAGGCCGAAGACTAGTGATCTTCTCCCTGGGCAACGCCGAGATAACACATGTCAAGAGGCAGCAGTGGCTAGTAAGCCAGCTCATCACTCACCTAGTCCCACCGCCCTGCCTGGCCCACTCTCCTTGCAGTCTTTTTTTTTTTCTTAAGACAGAGTCTCACTCTGCTCCCCAGCCTAGAGTGCTGTGGCGTCAGCCTAGCTCACAGCAACCTCAAACTCCTGGGCTCAAGCAATCCTGCTGCCTCAGCCTCCCCAGTAGCTGGGACTACAGCCATGTGCCACCATGCCTGGCTAATTTTTTCTATATATTTTTAGTTGGCCAATTAATTTATTTCTATTTTTAGTAGAGACAGGGTCTCACTCTTGTTCAGGCTGGTTTCAAACTCCTGACCTCAAATGATCCACCCACCCCAGCCTCCCAGAGTGCTAGGATTACAGGCGTGAGCCACCACGCCCGGCCCCTTGCAGTCTTTTCATTGCCATTGCAGAGGCCAACAGACCTTAGCTGCTGGACAGCGAGGAAGGGGATAGCAGAATGGGAAATGCATAACGCATGTAGCAAGAGGGATTCGGTGAGGCAGGAACCAGCAGGTGAGCAATGACTCATTTGGAAACTTGCAGCTATGTGTGTGTTGTTTGCATATCAGGGACCCTTTGTTAAAGTGGCTTGCCCAGCTGTGTGGGTGCATCGATCCAGGGAGGGGAGCGGGTCTGAAGCAGAAGATGAATTCTCAGAGGGAGCAGAGTTACCTCCTAGCTCATTTGTGCACAAGCTAAGGGAGGGTGCTCTCACTGGAACCTGCTGCAGAAAAGCTGCTTGGTTCTGGGGTTTATCCTCCTTCTGCCAAGTCTATTAGTTCCAAACTTGCCTTTTCAAGATCTTGCAAATTCCTTTGAAAAAAAAAAAGACTTAACAATTCAATGAAAAGAACAGCAAAACAAAAGCTGTGTTGATGAGGGACAGAGATAAGGTTGGGTTTGAAATGAGTGACGAACCTCGTAATGAGGTGTGCAGCTTTGTATATTAAGCCATTTCTCTATGGTGCTTTTCCAGATGTGATGGAATACATTTATTTGTGTGTTCATCTGAACTGAAATAATACAAATGAGATACTAAAAAGATATCATTACGTGCAGAAGTAGGCGAAGAATTTAGAATCCCAATTCTATAAGTTAACAGCTGTGTGTAAAGCAATTCGGAACGGCTCCGAGTCTGCAGGTTGCCTGGGAACCTCTGTCTAGCTTGTGTGGACCGGTGATGATCTATGTGTGAGTCCTGCATGCTGATAGTTCAAGGCTACTTTATTCCAGACAAAAATAAATAGCTGGTAGTAAGAAGTCTGTCTCCACCGAAAGCCTACAGAATGGCTGAATACAGCCGCTGCAGTAGTGCAATAAAACGGGATGAGTTTAAAACTACCAGATGGTACCCTGTACAGTGCCTGAAATAAAATGGAGAATTAGGGTGCCCCAAGGTGTGCACAGGAAAGGCAATTACATGAAATAAATGGGCCTCGGGCCTACAGGATGCTCGAGTATGCTACACAGGAGACATATAGTACATCTGGTGAACAGATTTTATCACACACTGGAAAGCCATAAAGCACGCCGTTGAATATCGGAACCCCGTCTCACAATGACATTTTACCTGTGTTGGTATTCAGTGCTGTTTATTTTAAAAGATGCTGTAATCTCAATGATGTGTTTTAAAAGCTTCCTTAACATTGTTTCCTACTATGTCCCATTTTTTGGGGGGGAGAGGGGACAGATTGAGACAATGCAATGAGCGTCTGTGGACAAATAGCCACTCTGGTCACAGGAGATCATGTTTTTATTTCATTTATCTCATTGCTGATGTGATTTGAGTAATAGGATTATACTTGTCAGCACTCCCCATTTGGGAAAATGCCAACATATTTTTAATGCTAGTTCCCACATCTCCGTTTTATTATCTGTAGCTTCACTAGCGTTCCCCTCCCCACCCACCCCTCCATTTCTTAATGTTCAAAGAAAAAGCAAATTTTTTTGGGGGGGGGTGGTGGAGGTTTGTGAGGAGGATTTATTTGTTGGCATGGAGCAGAGCCTTTTCTTGTGTCCTCCTCAAACACAACAAGTCTGCTTTCTGTTCGAAAATGGTGTGCTCCTTTCCTTTTGTAAAGAAAGGCTGAGGAACACATAACATTCATTATTGTTTTAAGAGTTGCTGTAATAAAATCCTCTCAGTACTTACAGATAGTTTTAGTGTCCCTCCTAGGATTCATTCTAGCTTTGATAATTGGGTAATTGCGTCCCCTCCCCCACCAATAAATATTTTCACCCAATTAAGTTTAAAACTATAATAAATTTTAAAGAATTATGGTCTAAAAATTCATACCCTAGAACCAGTATTAAGTATGAATATTTATCTAGAGCCATGAAGCGGTGCAGCCTGTCTCCGTGCTCCTGCACCTTCTGTGCTCCAGCGTCAGCCGCCGGGAGTGTGGCTTCCCTGAGCGTGGCCTCAAGGGGCAAGAGCCACAGTGCCCTTCGCTGCCCACACGGATTTTGGACAAAGCAGTCCTTCACTTCTCTGTTCCTGCCCTTCATTGTTTCCAGAGAGCATTATTCATTTATTCGGTCGCTCACTCATTCATTCACTCATTGCTGGGTTCAGTAAGTTCTGACCGAGGGATCAGGTCCCGCTGTGGCTGAAGCAGGGCCTGGGGAGACACACGGAAGTCAAGGTGGCTGCTCGCACACAGCTCACCTTCCACTCCCTCCCTCTTCTCCACGAACCAATGTTTCCAGATAAATCTTCCAGGCCGTTATTACAAGTTAAGCCCTCTGTTGCACCAAAGCACATACTCTCAACACTAAGGGACAACTAAATGACACGCGGCACTACCGTCGTTGCTCAGATGTATAATAAATGCAGAGCGGCACCCAGAAGACAGTCCAGGAGTTCACATTGCAGACTCCAGCCCACTGGAGACCCCAAACCTCCTGTTCCCTCTTGTTGAAAATAGAAATTCGATCGCAGCCCCCAGAGCCAGTAGCTTTTGGCAACAGGAATATGGGGAGCTCCGGAGCCAGGAGCAAGGACAAAAGGGCACCACAGGCAAAGCTGAAGCTGATGCTCGGAGAAGGGAAACGTGCAGCCACGGCAGGGGTGAAAGCGAGAGGCGGGAATTGGGTACCAGGGGAAGAAAGAGGGCCAAAAAAAAATCAGAAGGCCCAGCCAGTGGGTAAGGGGAGGATGGACCCTGGTCTCTGGGGTTCTACCAGGAACCCCACCTGGCCTTCCCACCACCATGGCTTTCCTCAGACCTGCCACCTTCTTTCATCTCCTCTGTCCTCTCCTCCTAAGACAGCCATTCTGTCATGCTGCCCCCAAATGCCCATGTATATTCTTCTCTGCTCCCCCTCTCCACCTCCGCCATCAAAGCTTCACCATCTCCTCCCCACTTCCACCCTCACCGTGCGGGGGAAGTGCATGGCGGTGTTGAATGCCCAGGTAGTCGTATTTCAAATGACACGCTGTGGGAGAAGAACGACTTAAAAACACAAAAGCAATGATGCTGAATCTCCAGGGAATGCAGTTCTGCATGCTGAGCTCTATTAATGAAGAATATGCCAATGATAATATTAAGTTGGTGAAAAAATTATAAGATATCTAAGAAATACTTTATCTTCTAAAGTTCTATATAAATTTCAGGAATTTCTGAAGACATCAACAGGGAAGTTGTTTTAAAAATTCAGGATCATAATACCTGGAAAAAAAAATCAGAATCTAGTAACCTTTGTTCTTCAGAATCTTTTGTGATGGGGTTTCAGGTAGGGGCATTGGTGACGGAAATCAGGTTTACAAAGAAGAAACATTCTAATGTTTGAGGGTCAAAGCTGAGCTGGAGATAAAACCAATCTGGTATTTAGTTCTTTATGTTATACACAGAACTGATCAAGATGATGGCAATAATACTTCATTTTATTTTCTCCGAAATATTCCAGACAATTTAATTGGTTTCAAAATTTTTTTATTTAAGAAAATTGTCTAAGCAAAGGGCAGGAAAAGATGACTAGGAAGAATTTTCAAGGAAACCCTTTTTTATCTGGATTCAATTTTTACTGTATTCAGATTTTTCATTAGTCATAAGCCCTATACACAGAAGTTGGAGGCAAGGGCAGGGGAATGACATTGGGGGTTCTACATTTGTAGGAAGCCACGAGGGAAAGTGTGTGGAAGAAGGAGCTCCGTTGTGAAGTCTGTAAGTTCGTTTCCATGCTGTTTCTCCAAGGGCAGGTTGGGCTACAGGTGGCTGCTTGCTGGTGTCACCTGCCCCAAGGGTGGAGTTTTCTGAAGTAAGGGATTGGACCGGAATCAGGCAAGGACCAGGGAGCCTCCCCTAGATGGAAGTAGCCTGAGCAGGTGTGGAGAAAGGTCGTTTCCATGGCAGCTGTCACTAGGCGCTTTGCCAGGGAGGCTGTCTGGTACTTAGCGGACTGTATGCAAGATGTCAGTATCTCCCCACGGCCCTGCTGTACGAGCAATCCATGAGCAGCACCCACTTTCACAGAGCAAGGCATTGCAGCATTGTGGATAAAGAGAGATGGAATGAGTCTAACTCCTGCTGCTGCTGTTTTCTAACTGTGTAAACTTGGAAACGTTATCTCTTTTAGCCTTAGTTCTCCATGCTATAAAGTGGGCACAAAAATAGTAATATTCCCCCCCCCAACAAAACTAGAATGAGAAGTAAATGAGATAATCTACATGAAAGTACATTGCCTGGCTCATAGTAAGAACTCAACCAGCTGGGCGTGGTGGTACGCACCTGTAGTCCCAGCTACTCAGGAGGCTGAGGTGGGAGGATCACTTAAGCCCAGGAGTTGGAGGCTGTAGTGAGCTATGATGGCACCTATGAATAGCTACTGCCCTCCAGCCTTGGCAGCATAGAAAGAAAGAAAGAAATTTTATTTCTCAATAATAATAAATAAAAGTGGAATTATTTTTTTAAACAAGAACTTCACCATTTTAAGCTATTGTTACAAATGATAACTCTGTAGTCAAGGATGAATGGACTAGACATGTAGAGAAAAGCAGAGGGAAATGAGGCTCTCTTTGGGGCATCATAGAAAAGCATCAGAAAGCATATAAAAGAAAAAAGTGGAGGAAGGCACAGCGTAGGCGGAGGACACACAGGTGATGAGGAATAAAATCAGACTGGACCCACTCTCCACCTAATGCCACAGGGGTTTTCTATCATCAAGAAGCCTCATCCAAGGAGTGGGAATCCTTTAGGATAAACAGAAGCAAGTTGTGGGTGCAGGAGGGGAAATCAGAAACCCTTCCAACAGCTGGCGTGGTGGCAATCAGTGGGGAGAACTGCGCAGGGATGTGTCCCAAAGCTGCAGATGTGTTGGGAGGCGGGTCACAGCTATGATGGTACCTGTGGATATAAAGGCAGAGGAGGTGTTGACTATTAGACAGGAAACCAAAGTTAGGACAACTCCAGTTGTGATCCCAGGGATGTTGCCAAAGCCTTTTGAAGGTCCTAAGAGACCTGAGGATCTTTGGCATGTCAACATGTAGATGAAAGATGGTGCAAATGGAAAGGTCTTGTGCTTGTAGGAAACTGGTGACATTGAGGAACAGGAGAAGCCTATTTTAAAGGGCTTGAATGAATGAATATAAAAGATGTCAGATGCGATACAAATGTTTAAGTTACATAAAAAAAAAAAAAAAAAAAAAAAAGATGTCAGATGCTGACATTCCATTATTTTAAGGTGACAGAGTAAAATACATTTAAATTTTCAGGGAAAATAAGAAACATAAAAATATGAGACTTGAATTTGCCTAATGATAATTTCAGAATGTTCTGATGATAAACAGGGTTGAAGAAAAATAACTGATGTGTCAGAATGCATCAGCAATAATGTAGGATGAAGCAGAAATAAAACCAGACTGTAGGAATATTTCTTGCTGATCCCATTAACTAAACAAATCTGAGATTTGTAAGGCTGAGAGATCAGCAGAGAACTTGCTATAGCTAACTCCTCCATGACGGGTAAGGAATGATAAGAAATGAAATTTTCTAGGCTATAGATAGAAGAAAAATAGGAACAGAGAAGCTAGTAGAACATGAGAACCTCCATAAATACAAACTCCATAGATGCATATCATATTTTCACAATATCGTTTTGCAGGAGACCTCTATTTTCTCACCACCTTTTCTCATCTTACTATCTTGAATTCTGAGTTCCATCTCTTTGACTAACTCTGCTCTCTCAAAAATCAATTGCCAAATCCACTTACCTGTGCACACACACAATGCCTTTATTCAATGCACATTTACTAAATATCAGCTTCATGTAGGGCTCCATGTTCTAACATCCTGGATGCTATGATCCCTGCCCTTGGAGAGTTTACAATCTGGGGAAAAGGAAGATGTACCCAGATAAATAAATATAGCACAATGCAGGAGGTTAATAGTCTGAGTTTTATAAAGACAGTGCTTTGAGGATATGAAACATGAGGCAGGAGCTATGAGTTCCCACTGGGTGGGCTGAAGGGGCCACATGGGAGTTTAGGATTTCAACAGTGAGGGCTGGGATGTAAGAGGATGTCTTAAACAGAGAGGAACAAGAATGAGCCAAGATGTTTTCAGGAAACTGCAGGAAGTCTGGTGGTGGGGAGGACACAAGTGGAAGAAAAACCTTCCAATTGTGGAGCGGCAGTTTGATATACGATCAGTTCTACATATAATAAAGATACTGCTCTCAGCAACGCAAAGCAAACAGAGAGACAGATAGTCCTGGGAAGAGGTAAAGATGGCCTGAACCCAGGCCACAGCAGGACAAATGGAAAGGAGGGGTTGAGTTTGAGAAACACTGTGGGGGTCGAATCAACAAGACAAAGAACCTGTTGGGTGTGGGAAATGGGAAGAGGTTGGAACCCTCATCCTTTTCAAAGTTCACCTTCCTCTCCCACATGACATTGCTTACCACTTTTGACTTCTGGAAGCTTTCTTCTGTTTCTTTTAATGAGACAGTACTGCCCTGCTTCTCCTTCTGGTCATGAGCAAAACTTGATAAATGACTTTTTGTAAGAAATTTGGCTCTTCATTGCAACAGTCATCTCTGCAAAAGATTAAGTGATTTATGGGACTCAGGTCAAGTTTGAGTTAAGTAGTAGGTCTGAGCCCATGAGACTCCTTCTATTCCCTGCAGAGAAGAAAAAGGGAAGCGATTTGGTTGCAGGTGTGTACAGATGAGAGCTTAGGGAATTGAAATGTTCCTAAGACTCTCTTGGCGGGGGAACTTAACGCTTCATACTAGCGGGCAAAAATAGTTTGAAGTTCATTCCCAAAATAGTGAGTTTTAAATAGAGATATGATTTGGAATGGTCAACATATAAATCTTCTTCCCAGGCTTCCACATGAAGCACACGTTTGATCCAACAGACAGCAATGAGTCTTTAAAAGCTGTAATGGCCCATCATGTCAGAGGGTATTTATAGATTTACAGACTCTTCAGATATCTGGATCTTGTGCAAGCATGATAAAAGCCCTCTGAAAATTTTGCTCAAATAAACGAGTGCTTAGCTAGCTGTGTTTCCTAAATTAAATGACTCAGCCATTGTTCACTTGTAAAATACCCAAGGGTCCTAGTCTACATTTTGGAGTAATGCGCTGCAACATTTCTGTTGCAGGAACAAAACAGTGTGGGGGCTGTAGGAAATCACTAACTCTTATTCTTGTACTTCACACTGCTAACTTAATGAGAAATATGCTGCTGAGGACAAGTTTTAGGACAGGTATTTCTCAGGTCATATCTCTAGTCACCAACAAAGATGATGGGAGCAAAATAGTTTTGTATTTGAAAAATTGATTTGTAACATAGGTCGATAATTTTAGGAACCAAACACTTTGTTGAAGTCCTAACTGGTAGGACACAGAAGCTAATGATTGTAGAAATGGAAATCTTGCCAGTAGAACCATTGAGTTCTCTCATTCCCTGCAAGTGGCTGAAGAATTTTTGCCATTTCACAGACCCTATTCTTTGATAAGGAAAGAAATTAATAGTTATTCTCTGTATCTTCATTAAAAGCTTGTCATCCTATGTCATTATATGTCATCATAAGTTATCCCTTTTCATTCAACGTTTGAAACAAAGTATTTCATAAATTGTAGTAAATAAAACTTTCTGACAAGTAGCTGGTAGTAAAAGAATCAACTCTGCCAGAGGCCATGCAAGCTCCCTGGGGTCTTCCACGTGCTGTTGATCAAGCATGCTCAGCTCAAAACCAGAGGCCAAAGATTTTCTGATTTGTGTCAATCAGGTAAATCTGAACCCACAGAGATCATTGCTTTAAAAAAATAAAATAAAACTGTTTTCCCAACCAATACTTTGTGAGATCAGTATTGGAGAAGGGCTGAATATAATGTTTTTTTCTTGGTTTTGAGTATTGAAATGGGAGCATGGCCTATAACGATAGCCATGTCTGGAGCAAAGTCTAAGGGCTTCAGGAAGGCTGCCGCCACCATCACCACCACTGTGGCCCTCGTAGGCAGTCTCCGAAATCCCCGGGAGAGAGGCAGAGTTCTCTGCTTGCTGATGTGGTGGCCAAGAGATTGAAAAAAGGGGGAGAAGAACAGGAGGACCTGTACCTTCCAACCCTGCCAAAATGACTCATCTTGCCTTCAAGTCAAGTCCTCCTAGGTTTATAAAAGGAGTTGTTTCTTTAATCGTTAAAGGAAAACTCAGTTTAAAAAAAAAAAAATCTGAAGATGAGCAGTCTCAACCTCTATTGTATGTGATTTAAATGAGTGACTATTCAGAGAACACCAAAAGCCACATGTAACTGAGGCTCCTCTGGGACTCACGCAGAGTCCCATCAGATGACACAGGCGTGCATTTACAGAAATAGCGGAAGACTGGCGAGTCGGAGGCACTGAGGCCGTAGAGAAGAAGACTTGGTTCCGAAAAAAGAAGAGAATCAACTGAACAAGCCGAGGCCTGAGTCCTCTCTAGTGACTCTTCTGGGAGACTCCAGAATCAATACCAGGGATTGCACAGCTTTTCGGATGCATGAAGCCATAGACATTTCCTTGGTTGTGAAGATATTTAATCCCCAGGCACGGAGGGAAACTCATATGTGGCTTCCTTCCACCAGGTTCCCAGGGGAATGCTTATCGGGAGTGGTAAGAAAGCCTTGCTGGTGTTTTCCAGCTTCCTCCTAGCACTGTCCTCCAGTGTGGGACCACCCATGTCGACAGGATCCAGGGCTCAAGGGATTGGCAGTGGTGCATATGTCTAAGGGGCTAGCCTTTTGGGTCTGGCCACTAGACTTACGTGGGTAAGCCACAGGGACTGCAAAGGCCATCGAGCGGAGGAGCAGCATGGGTAGAGCTGTGTTCTGTGAAGCCCACTCTGGCAGCCCTGGAGGGATGAATGAGAGCAAGAAGAGAACAGTGGCAGGGAGCATAGTCATAGTTTTTCATGGACTTCAAAGAAAAGATGAGGAGAATTTGAAGGAGGACAGTGGCAATTACACTGGACCATCCATGACTGCAGTTATGATATCAAGAGCAGCCATGGTCCTAACAAACCTCCTCATGACCCAACCATGAATGCCTGCCTTGGCAGCTTCCGTGTCTGTGCCTGCTTTCTCCCAGGAAGCTCCACACCTTCCTCAGATATGAATTGACATGTCATAAGCATGTCTGCTTCTAATAGGTTTGAATGTGCATTCCTTGCTATAAGAGACTTCTAGCAAATTTACAGTTTTGGCACAGGGCCATTTCCTCATCCTGCTCGTAACTAAACCCAGCAAGATCTTCTTTGCCTCTGCCACCTTCTAACTGCTCATCACGCAGACAGGTAGAGCAGGGATAGACACATGGTGACAGCCCAGCAAACAGCCTTTCTTTCTTAGGATGAGTAAGATCAAGAGCGGATTCTATACATCTGAGACTAGTGTGGGCTCACAGACTAATTAATATTCATAAAATAAATATTGCAAGTTTGTACTCTGCACAGAGCATTAGCTTCTGTGATCAATGTTTTATGTATATTTGGTCATTTAATCCTCACAACGATCCTATGAAGTGGGTACTATTAGCATTCCTATTAAACAAAGAGAAAACCAAGGCTTACATAGAGTTTAAGAAAACTTCCTGAAGTTTCATTCATAGTAGGTGGCAGTGCAGGACTCAAATCTAGATCGGTCTTATTCCTGAGCTCCAGCTCAGTGACCCTGTACCATGAAGAACATCATCATTCCTGCACAGATGCTAATCTATTTCTGGACCAGTCCCTGGTGTAAGGTCAGCCTGAACCAAACTGCAGGCATTTCTTCCAGTCCCATTCCATACAGGAAGGAGATCCTTTCCCGAGTCACAGAGGGCTCTCTTAGATAGAATACAGCACTTACGATCTGCGTCTCTGCAGAAGAGGATTTTTGGAAGGATCCAGACAAGATGAGCTCTCAGACCCACTAAAGCAGGGGCCTAATCTAGGTCCTATGAGAAGGGAACAGAGTATGTTCAGCACCCACTATGTCCCTCCTTCAAGGATTGGTGACTAGACTCATCCCAGTCAGCTTACAGGGACTCCCTAGCATGAACGGGTTCCAGTCCCAAATTTATGACATAGATGAAGCAGAAGACAGTCTTTACAGACTTGAAAAGAAGCTCAGGTGAGGTGTTGTACCTGGGCATTACTGGGATATTAGCTCCAAGAGCACTAGGCAGCCATATCGGCTGAGGAAAGTGGGTCTATGAGCCAGGGCTCTGAGATCAAACCTTTACCTGCCACAGTGAATTGTCAGCTGAGAAAGTCACTCAATCCCAAATGGAGAAGCTACTCCTGGTCATCAGTTAGCTGCACATTACAGAGAACATCTAAAAAGTCTGATGGCATAGAGAAAGTAAACAAAAGATTAATATCCAACATTTATATGCAAGCAATACATCATTAATGATCATTATGGAGAACTTGCTTAGTTCAAATGAGGTTCCAGAAGACTGGAAGCGTTTCACTGTAGCACCAGTATTTATAATAGCCACCCTGGGGAGCAGCAGGCCCATCAACTTGACATAGCTAATATGCAAGGTAATGGAAATGAGTAGAGGTGAAATGGAGCCATGCGGACACTGAATTATCTTGGGAGCCAACTTCCATGCAAATAATTAAAAACTGCCCTGATTATTAGCAGAGTGGAGAGGACACTGCCTCAGACACCTTAGGTCACTTTTTAGCTTACCATTTAAAGCTGGCACATCATGTTGCCCTGCTGCTTAAAATCCCAGCAAAGAACCTTCAATGCAATTGACAGAGGACAAACAGTTTCCAAAGAAATTTGAGGAAGGAGTTTGTTCACATGGTTTGGGAAGCAGCACAATATTGGAGAAGAAGGGGGGTCGTGGGGTGGAGTCTGGAATTTAGTCCCTGTCCCAAGAGACTCACTGTGCAACATTTAAAAATTCTTTAATCTTTTATTAGTTTCCTTAGCTACAAAATATGGATAGTATTATCTAACCTCTGCCTTACAGTTTGTATAAAGCAAGATAGAAGAGCTTATATGAAAGTGCTTTGTAGAGTGTAAGACAAGAGAGGAAATGCAAATGACTAAGTGAGCCAAGTGACATGCCTGGAGGACACACGTGGGGGACTTCATAGGGATTTTGTGAACTGGTGAGACATGGCCTCTGAAAGGGCCCCTCAGCTCTAAGCCACTGCTTCTTGCAGGACTGGAGGACTGGTGCTGCAGACAAGTCTCCCTGTTGTAAAGCAAAATTAGAAATAGCATTTTTGGGGGAGATGAGAAATCTCTTGATTTAAAAATGTAGCAACTGAAACAAAAGTTTGTAAAACTCTGTTCATGTGGACTGCATCCTGTTCATGAACTATATTAGTCCTTTCCCCAGTGCAGCATATAGTATAACAGCAATTGGGAATTGTACTAGTTGATAATAATCATAGTGGCTAACATTTACAGAATTATAGAATAGAATACTTACAGTGCACTAGGTACTGATTTTTAAACTAATGGAAGTAAGTAAGCATTATTGAGGTAAAATGGACAAACAGAAATTGTATATATACAAGGTGTACAACATGATGATGGAACAGGTACTATTCTAAATGTTATGTAAAGTAGCCTTAGGAAGCCCACAAGAAGATAATATTATAAACCCCATTTTACATGCGTGGAAACTGAGTGAGATAATCCCTGGTTAAAATTATATGAGTTTTATGGAAGCCTTAATTAAAAAAACAAACTTAAGGAAACCTAAATTTTTTTATTAATAATTCAGCAGAGGATGTGATGTAGAAGCCTCCCCCTAGCTTTTTTTTTAACAAAGCCCTTCATTATGACCATTCCAAGGAAACATTTCTTAATTATGGATCTTTCCTATAAATAAGTACAGCGGATTTGCCAACATTTCCTCTCATACATTTACTTTTGCCAGGGAAGGCAATTTCTCAGCCAGACTTAGATATGAGAGCTAACCATCAAGTGGGAAAGGCAGGCTGCCCAATGTCAAGCCTATGTCAATTTCAAACACAAGGTAACTGAGTCCAGAGGTGGCACAATAATATTCTATCTTCTTGTTCTTGCACATTAAAGACTCCACCAGAGGCCTTTCATCCTGGAAAATAATATCTAGAGGGGGTCTTCAACTTCAAGAAAGACATTTCCAAGATCTAGAAACAAAGAGGACATCATAGAAAAGCCTCTATTAGGAGATCAAATGATCAAGTGAATATCCGAATGATGAATGAAACACGACTTTCTTCTCCTCCCTTAGCAGGTCTTTGCCCGTCTCTTTGCTCCTTAGCATAACTGCCAGAGAGTACACAGAAGAACATTAAAAACAATGTTCTTCGTGGGACAAGTAGTAGAAAATGATCATCTATAGTGATAATTCGAAAAGGACTAACAATGAAAGAAAAGTCTGATTGCCTACAATCCTTCAGTGTGCAGGAACTTGCTGTTTCCCAGGCCGAGTTTGCACCCTGTATCCCCCAACGCTCTCCTTGCCCACACTCCTGTTTGCTCTGCCCAGCCGTTTCCAGCATCCTCTTCCAGCACGGGGGTGCAGGGCTCCCGGGCGATAGAAAGCAGTTGACAATATCAGAAGGGGCTGGCGAATGAAGGTCAGAGTTAAGGGAAATAAGAAATGGAATCTTACCAAGGGTCAGCATGTGGCGCTCAGATGATTCCGGTGCACATGAATGACAAGCTTGGGCAGAGAGAAAACAAAGTGGGCAGCCCAGACGCAGAGGAGCCTTGAGTCGTCTCCCTGTCCGTGGGCTCGGGGCCTGCGTCCCTTCTCTTCCCGTCATGGCCTGAGTGTTTCCCCAAGGAGCTGGGGAGTTAGAAACAGGATGTGTGTAAACCCCAAGGGTATCTGAAACAAAAGCAAAACAAGAAAGAAAAAAAAAAACAACTTTCCTTTATGTGCCCTTCACCAAAGGAGCATTCATTCTGAGAAGCAGAGAGAGTTCTCTGCAAAGGGCATTTCCTTGGCCTGTGAGAGGGAACTACTCAGTGAATTCTCAGAAGCAACCACAAAAGAAGAGTCTTGGGATCTTGACAACTTGTAGGTACCCTTGACGCTAATCGTGAAAAAGGAAATGGTAGCCATTAGAAAGTTCCCAAGAAAGGTTTATGCTGGGACAGAGGGAAGAACAGTGCTGTTTTTTATTTTTTTTTAAGTGAGCAACATACCTCCCTCACACCCACTAAAATAGCCTGTGGAGCCCATGTGTCCTAAGCCCTTTACATCACATGTAATTGTGCAAGTGTTTGTAGAGCTTTGGTATGTGCTTAGCACTATGCTAGGAGTTTCCTTCACTTTGCTGTCAAGAGAAGGCTTTTCTCATTAAGCGAAGACATTACATTTGGGAATGGAGTTAGTGGGGTCAGGAGAGGTTCTCATGATCCTCTTAATGGAGGACTTATGTCCTGGCTCTGAATTCAAGATGAGAAACCTGTCTTGTGCACATTCCAGAAGTGGGCATCCCAGAAGTGAGGGCATTTAAGTCACCATGGGTATCAAAAAAGTCACAGGGCTTTTGGACAACTTGCAGCCCATTGCAGGCCCAAACTAAGTGCTCTGTGGAGAACTAGACCCAATTAAATTGGGGACTGCTTTGCAGTTGCCAAGTTTCATGCAACTTCTGATAGATTTGGAACGAGGAGTACAGGCAGGCCCAGACAAAATGAGCTGAGTCGGGAAAGGGGAAAATAGATTCAGAATGTAAAAGCAAGGTTCTTTGATGGGCTGAAGAACTGACACATGGAAAATGTAATGCATTATTGACAAACACGTATGCTGGCTGCAAAAATAATTAACAGAAGCAGAAAAGAAATAGGAATGAAATGGAGCAGAAAGACTTTGAAAGATTGTGAAGTGGCCGCTGAAATTGCCAAGCTAATGTCAGAGAGATGATTAAAATTTTCCAATAGAACAGGTGAATAGGTACTTAGGAGAGTGTGATGTAAACCAAGAGAGAGTGGATCATTATATGAATCTGCACTGAGGTACTAATCAGCATTTTATGTGCAACTTTGCAGTGCACATTTTAGCAGATGGAGGAAGCTCTTAAAAGCTGATAGCTAAACCGAGTCTGACTGCCTTTCTGTTTCATAATAACCATCCCTGGAATGGGTACTTGTTCCAAGTAAGCACTGCAGAACCAGTTCTCAGAATAGAATTCCAGACATATCAATATGCTTACAAAATAAAGACATCTGCAAAACTCTAGGACCAAGGGAGAAGAAAGGGAAGAGAGGGGGAGTTTAAGTCTTCGTAAACGAGTGCTTGTGCGAACTGGCTTTAACAGATAAATAATCAGAACTCAAAATAAAGATCAAGTTGCAATGAGGAGAAATTCTTCTGCAGGCCAAACTGTATAGATGCAAGCAAGTGCACACACACACACACATTCTTGTAGAAACTGTATTGCTGCAATAACAAAAACAATTAGACGGTGGATTGTGGGTATGTTAAAAGAGAATAATTCTTCATGATCAGAATGACTTTTTCGCTCATTCAACAGAAAAAGACTCTTATTTTTTATTTGTTGGCAAAGCCAAATTAGAAAAAATATATATCTTTACGACCATAGGAGACAAATGAGTGATACCAAATATCACTAAAAATGCTATTAATCTACAGTGATATAAAATTACCATCTCAGCACAAAGAAAGCCTATATAATCTGAATTTCTCTAGCGTCGTAAAAACGAATGAGAAGCGAAATTGAGAGTAAGTATGCTTTTGAGATGCCGTTAAGAGTTACATGCATTGTTAACAAATGTGGCTAGACAGACTGGTGATTTACCTTGAGTAACAAATTTATAGAGACACAGAAAATTTCCAAAACGGGCCAACTCATTGCCCTTCACATTGGTTGATGACACCTTTGAGAGTGTTATTCTCTTTACTTGGATATTTAAATGTGCCTGATTAGCCATTGACTTTATGTATTATTTTTCCTATTTTCATTTACTTGTTTTCTGCATATGTCAGAAGTCAAAAATAGCTTGGGGTGGGGTGAGAGTGTGGCAAGGAAGCAGATACAGGTTCATGTACCAAAGGAGCCCAAGTGACCTTACAGGGTGACCAGTGAAGAACACAACGGACTTTGGCTCCATAGCTGGGGGGGGCTTTCCCCAAATCTGAGCAAGGCCCACTTTCTGTTACTCTTACATTATCTCTTGATCAGTCCAGAAGAGGGGAATATCATCCCAATTCCAGGATATTTTCACAAGCCCCCGGAAGAGCTGGACAAGGCTAATGACCAGGTCAGTAACTAACAGGAAGTAGCAGGCAGTATGTGACAGGAAGTAGAGGGCAATACCCGACAGGAAGTAGAGGGCAGTCCCTGACAGGAAGTAGAGGGCAGTACCTGACAGGAAGTAGAAGGCAGTACCTGACGGGAAGTAGAGGGTGGAATCTGAGGGGAAGTAGAGGGTGGAATCTGATGGGAAGTAGAGGGCAGTACCTGACAGGAAGTAGAGGGCAGTACCTGACAGGAAGTAGAAGTCAGTACCTGACGGGAAGTAGAGGGTGGAATCTGACAGGAAGTAGAGGGCAGTACCTGACAGGAGCTAGAGGATAGTTGCATTGGTTGTTGAGGGGGAGGCCAATAAGGATGTAGAGGAGGAAGGGCTGAGTGAGGTAAAAAGATGGGAGCAGATGGGAAATGAGTATTTACACTTCTTCCATATTTAAAAATAAGGAAAAAGAAAAAAAGGGGCGGAAAGAAAGCTCACCACCACTGCCAACAATAAAACTTCAGGGAAATTTAGCAAGGGATATGTGTCAGTTTTCAATTTGTCTGAGAGGTGGTGTGGGAATAGTTTATGAAGTTGGTAAAGCTTTACCAAGATGTTACCAGTAACCTCCAACAGTTTGCTTGTAGCTAAGGAAAAAAATGCAAGCAATGATAGCAATGGTGTTTTCCTTTTTGTTGGCTGCCTTCTACAAAGATTTTAACATTTGTATATAATACTAATGCAAGACATCCCTGTGAGATGAGCAAGGGCTCTTATTTAGAAGCCCATTTTACTGAGTATTACAATCTCCTGCCCACGGATACAGCATTAGAACAAGGTTAATCTGGAAATAGAATTGAAGTCACACTCCAGTCCATTGTTCTTTCTGTGAAACTCAATCAGGCATCTTTTCCTAATATCCCTGTGGGCAAAGACTCCAGCCCTGAGAACATGGGGATGCTGAGCATGGCCTTTTATGTCACAGCAGAAGCTTCAGGGTTGGCTCCAGGAACAGATCCAGGTTGATGGGACCTGAAGCTTAAACATGTATGATACTCTTTAAGAAAAATAATTCAAACAGATGAGTTCAAAATCAAGTATAAATGGGAAAATTTATTTCAAATGAATAAAGAAATTACATCAAATTATAAATTTTATAGAGCTGACTGCTGTGGTTTGGTTTGTTTGACCCTTCCAAACCTTGTGTTGAAATTTGATCCTTAATACTGGAGGTGGGGCCTAATGGGAGATGTTTGGGTCATGTGGACAGATCCCTTATGAATGCTGACTGCCATCCTCCTAGTAATGAACGAGTTCTTGCTCTGTTAGTTCATGCAAGAGCTGGTGGCTCAAAAAGGTCTGGTACCTCCCCACTGTCTCTCTCTTGCTTCCTCTCTTATCATGTGATCTCTGCACTTGCTGGCTTCCCTTCACCCTCTGCCATGATTAGAAGCAGCCTCACCAGAAGCAGATGCTGACACCATGCTTCTTATACAGCCTGCAGATAGTGAAACCAATAAACATATTTTCTTTACAAATTACCCAGCCTCGGGTATTCCTTTATAGCAACACAAATAGACTAAGACACTGACAAATATTACAAATTTTTTAAAAATTCAGGAAAGTATTATTATGTTTTTAGTAATTAGTTGCCTTATTATAGTTCTATAATGCTTGCTTCTCATTATTTTTGCATTTATACTCTTTGATTACCTCTTTATGATAACAGTTTTGTAGTATTTTCTATAGAGAGGATAAATAAGTAATTCAGTCAATTCTTTAACATAGTTGATCAAAATGTAGTCATTATTGGTTTCAAAACCTGACTTTTCACTTCAGCCTTTTATTGACAATGCCGTATATGTAAATTCCTCAGCAGTTTTTGCCTAAGGCCAAAGCTTTTGGATACTGCTAGCCCTCTGATCTGCCTGGACAGTCCCTCACTCCACCCACCACCCCAAGTTCCAGGTTCTCACTGAGCCCTTCCTCACTAGGCCTGACCAGGGGAAAGGAGGCAAGAGAGTCAGGGAACTCTGAAGCCCAGGTTAGAGTGGTAATGAGCAGTGTCTGGTTCAAACCCCTGTCACTGCAGGCAAGGGTGGGTCCGGAGGCTCATGATGACCCTCCAGAAGAGGTGCTAGGCAGATGCAGAGGTTTTGCTGAGCTCACAAGCCCAGCCAGCAGCCCCAGGACCACAACAGGCAAGGGCAGTGATGTCCCCAGACTGAGTTAGCATTCTTTGTCTTCTTGCTGGGGTGGTTGCTTTCTCCTGCAGACAACAACCTGAGCCTTGGACAAGACTTTGAACTTTAAGCTTGTCCAGCTATGACTTGCCTCTAGTTGGCCCTGGACAAATTATAAAATAGAAGGTTATGAAATTATGAAATAGAATACCACTATGGTTACACTTAGCTTGCAGCGTGTGAAAACACCTATCATAGTGGCCTATTGATGATGCTTAATAAATGTGGTTTCCTTCCTATGGTTTTACAACAGGGGCTCTCAAATTCTATAGACAGTTTTCTATGGTGTCTTTCAAATATACTAAATGGTCCATTTATGCAACTCATCTTCCTGCTGGAATCTAGAAACTCCATTGTTCTTAAGTCTTACTAATTC